ACCGGCACTGTACCCGTGTGATTGCCGCCGTTGAAAAGTGCCTAAACGAAATATTTTATACAGCCTGATCAGCAGAATGAAATTGGAAAACAATTTTTCACTCGTCTCGTGAACTGGCTCACCTGACAGCGACCGCTCCGCGAATTCATTCGAAAATCCGCAGCATCAAATCCGAGTTTGTCGTAGTTTAGAATTACATAACTCAGTCGGCCAGGCTGAAAAAATGTAAAATCCTACTTTATAAACTCTAATGCCAATGAAAAAATTTCTAAAACTTGAGAATAATATCCAGAGACCAGCTAGCTTTGTGTGTGAGATTTTTAATTTAAAGTACAAAAGTAGTGTTGATTAATAACTGCCTTAACTCAGTAAACTCGGTTCCACTGGCTGATTAATTTGGTCGTTACCTGATCAGTGAGCCATATTGCTTGGTAGGTGGATAACTGGCCAGCGTCAATATCGGACCGGCCGACGACTGCCGATGCTGTATTGTACCAAGTGACCACCAGCGCTGCATCTGCGCGAAATGCTGCTGCTCCAGCTACACCCTCTGCAATTTAGTTCGCATTTTTATCACGAATATACGAACACTCCAATCCAATTACAATCATAGGCCGAACTGGAACAAATACTGTAAAACTGAGAAACCTTGAAGCCATCGCATCATTTCATCCAGAAAATAATCGCTGTTTCGATCACAGTGTACGTATGATTCGGATGTACTTGGACAAGCCTAGAATACAGTGAAGCAGAAAAGAAAATGAAATGTAAATGAATTTTTATCGCCTCGACTTCGCAGCCTATTGTTAGAGCCTTGAAAAGAAATAGAATGAACTTTGCTGGCCGGTTGTCCAAAAAAGCTGGACTGCTGCATGGTACCCCCATATGGCATATTAGTATTGGTGCCACGGCCAAACAAGGACTGTCGCAATATCAATCGATAATAAACACCGGTTCGTAGCCCTGGACTTGGATTCTGCGCGATCTAAATTGTGATCTTCATAAATTTGTGTTTTACGCGTCCAGTTCCAATTTGGAGCTGTTGACCTGCGTTTTAAATGGCAAAATCATATAAAATTTTTTTGAATATTCAACCTGTTGTTTGCACAGATATGGTGCAATCATTGCCGGATCTTGTTGCTGCGGCCAATTTGTTGATTCCACACCAACATTTATCGTTGGGCCTTGATCCAAGACTGTTGCAAAAGCGATGTAACCATTCACAGAAAGCTTCAATTTGATGGATTGATATTATGAGTTGCAACGAAGCAAAATTCGTAGGCACTTTTTTGAAAACAAGTAATTCCCTTCCAAAGCCATACTCTACAAATACTGGGAATTCTCGAATCATTTGCTTTCCGTAATGAGAAAATCATACCACAGAATAATTATAAAGGCCGCCGTAGAATGGAAAGAACATGTGCATGTTTATCGTCTGCCCAGATGTGAGCATTCCTGGATGCACCTTCTGGTCACCCGCTTCCGGCCCAAATGGTACCAAATTTACTGCAAAGTAATGAGTCACTTAGGAAAAAAACTAAAGCAACGAAAACACAAAAACTGCACTCAAACCTGGCTTGAAAAATTCAAGACCTCATTTCACTCATAAAAAATGTCAAATCGAGAAATTTGTCCTCTACCTGATTCACGTTTTTTGCAGCAGTAAACACTTGTTACTAAAAAGCTTCGCCCCCCATATATTGCTTGATTACATACAAAAGCTTACTTGAGACTTTTGCTGTACAGAGTGTGCAATTCAGTAGTGTATGCGTGTAGAGTTCTTCAGAAGAGAAGAAAGCATTTTTTGCTATTTTAAGGAACAGCACTGAAGTAAAAAATCCTTTCACTCAATAAAGAGCACTAAACTATTAAAAGTAAAACATATAATTAGAAATAAAAGCATGTAAATGAAAAATGTTGAAGTTCGGTCGATCCAAGGAAAAAGCAGAAAATTTTTTCTGTAATGCCCGGAAAGAAAAATATCTCTTTTCCCTTTTCCCTCCCCACTCCTTTTTTGTAGGCTGCAGTGTGCATCACTTTACCAATGAAATAGAAAAATCTTTCCAAAAAGTTAGAAAATGTGGACCCACAGTTTGTGAAAACGACACAGCGGGGCATTGCTGAAAAATGACCAGATGTGAAATACACTTTAAAAATGTGAGTGGAAACCAACAGAAACTGATATTTTGGAAATGAATCAATGAAAGATACCGCCATAAACGGGACTGGTCCCGAGGCCGGTGTAAATTTGACCAGCATCTTGTCCTGGATTGACGGCTTGTCGCGGCTGAGATGCTGGTACAGGATTCTGTGCAGGTCGCTGGCCACAAACAATGAATGACAAGCTTATTAAAATAAAGCCACCGAACAACTTCATCGTGAAGTTTTGAGAATTTCGATGAATGGTCGTTGATTAGCTACGATCTTCTCCAATCTGTAATTAAATTTTCGTTCTTGCATGTATTTTCCCTGAAAAAAAAGCGACGAGAAAATACAAATTTGTGCCGTACTTAATAGGTGTGAAGTGGCTTGCTCAGTTTCAGACAGTTGGCCGAGTCCAGCCAAAGCCTCTCCCGTCACCTCACAAATAAGTTTGCTCCTTTTCGATCATATTTAATAAAAGTGTGCTCAAGTCACTGTTTTGCACTGCAGCAGAGTTTGACACTTTCAGCATATTTTTAGGGCTCATTGTAAAAAAATGTTATTATTGCTAACATCGCTTTCGTTTTGACAATTGCATTGTTTTAGCGCACTAAGGCGCCACTCTTTGCCCACTGAAGTAGCTGAGCTGAAGCAAAGTTAACAAGTAATGCGGTCAAAGCAGTGTTGAATTTTCTTATATTCCTTCAAAGTTTGTTCGGCTCTAATTTCAAATCCATCCGTGTGTTTAGTTTTATTCACCATTCGGAAATAAATCAGCAATACTTCCTCCTGCATTCTTTCCGGATTTCAATTTTTTTAAACGATCGCTGCCCTCTACCACACACAGTTTTAGTCTTCACATTCAGGGAAGAAAGTACCACAGGTTCTAGTACAGAAAGTACACCTCCTTTCTTCCATTGTAATTTCTTCAGTGCTTCCAAGCATAAAGTTCTTGAAAATCCTCCAAACATCTGGACCGAGAGCACTCGGTTCTTTAGGAGAACATTCGGTGCAATTGTCCTCCAGCTGACTGCTTCATATTTGTCTGCGCATCCTTTTTTCGTCAATTCCGTCAAATCCCTTGCGCAGACTTATTGTGTGTAGTCGTTCTGCTAAAAAGCAGGAACCTGCACACCCGTTCCACGTGCGATGGTCTTGTTTTCTGCAGGGAGATGTCCATGAGGATGAGGTGTGCCTCGATCAAGACGCACGTGAATCCTCTCACAGTCTTTAAAGGCGATGTAGTTAAATTCACGTCTGCAATTTTTTCGTCCGGTACAATTTGTTTAGTCTCCAGCACCGCTCCTGTCGTCAATGTTACTTCACTTGCCAATATGTAGTTGCCTCTCTGTCCAAGTTTTGCGTTGAAATCACTTACTAAATAGTAAACGTTGGATTGATACCTAGCTC